GCTTATATATCTTTTAAATTACAAAAACTTCAAAAAATTATAAAATAAAAAAAAAAGTGATCTCAAAGTGATTTTTTCTTTTTATATATCCTTTAAATAACAATAATTATCTTTAAAACTTCATTAAATGCCGTTTTATTGTTAAAAAACATTACTACAACATTAACATTTTTGGCCGTCAGGCCGCTGGGCTGCCAGGCCGCCAACTTCACAAAAATGAGAAAATAAAAAAGTTCTCTGAAAGTGATTTTTCTTTTTATATATCCTTTAAATAACAACAATTATCTTTAAAACTTCATTAAATGCCGTTTAATTGTTAAAAAAAAAACATTTCTACAACATTAAAATTTTTGGCCGTCAGGCCGCTGGGCTGCCAGGCCGCCAACTTCACAAAAATGAGAAAATAAAAAAAGTTCTCTGAAAGTGATTTTTTCTTTTGATATATCCTTTGAATAACAATAATTATCTTTAAAACTTTATTAAATGCCGTTTTAGTGTTAAAATAACATTTCTACAACATTTAATTTTTTGACCGCCAGGCCGCTGGGCCGCCAACTTCACGCCGCCAGGCCGCTGGGCCGCCAACTTCACGCCGCCAGGCCGCTGGGCCGCCAACTTCACGCCGCCAGGCCGCCAACTTCACGCCGCCAGGCCGCTGGGCAACTTCACACATCTTGTAAAAATTCAGTTTCATCCAATTACCTGATGTCCCATTGAATCTTACGGTTTCCCCTGCACTTTTTGATACATGTACCAGTGCTGTTGAATTAGATTGGACCGATATTGAACAGATTTTTTAACAACATTGCTAAAAAATCTATGTTAAAATCCATAGTAGTAGAAGATTTCCAAATCCGTAACTTAACTTAATAAGCCCTTGATCTGACACAAAACATAGCTAGCCTTTTTATGTAAACTTTGAAATAGATTATTTATTAAAATGAGAATTTCCAAATTAATGGACTAAACCAATATAATATCACTTCTTAAACAGGAAATGTTTACTGAGTAGATGTTTTCAATTAAGTTTATAAAAAAAATTAATAAAACAAATCTTACATTTTATTTTAAAACTTAAAGTATAGCAAAACATGTGTTTCATATTAGGGGACAGCGCTGTTGATACTGTTTATTTCTTTATGTTATTATAATTAATTTTTGTTATTATTATCTGTGTATGATGAAAAAAAAGAAGTGTTTTTTATCATACCATCATGTATGGTTCAGAATTATGGGGCCTCAAAAGGCCACAATGTATCGAAAAGATACAAATTTGAGCCGCGTCACGACAAAACCAACATAATGGGTTTGCGACCAGCATGGTTCTAGAACAGCCTGCGCATCAGCGCAGTCTGATCAGGATCCATGCTGTTCGCTTACAAACCCCATTACAAGTAGAGAAACTGATAGCGAACAGCATGGATCCTGATCAGACTGCGCGGTAGCGCAGGCTGGTCGAGATTCATGCTTGTCGCAAACCCAATATGGTGGTTTTGTCGTGACGCGGCTCATTTATGCATACTCATTGGTAATAAAGCATGGTTATGCTGCTGTGGATGATGTTCGTAGATTTCTTACGTTTATTTATGCTGAGAAACGTCGCATTAAAAATTCACGTTAGTTAAATATGCCAAGACACAGATCTGTAAGAATGTGTTACGAAACGTTAATATACTCGTACTATGGTTACGTAAGATATTCAAATTAAGCCTACAATGATATCTTAAGATATTCAAATTAAGACACTGATATTAGAAACAATTTAACATATAAGCAAATGAATATGGATATTTTGGATACGCAAAAAGTTAATAACATTATATAATATTGTGTTCAGTTATACAAAGAGCCATTGTTTTCTTGAGCAAGAAACTTTACATTTATTGCTTAGTAGATTGCTTCAATAAGCTTCACGTCTCCAGCACAATCGAACTAAAGACCAGTATATTCAGGAATAAGGCGCTAGATGTCATTACAGTACCAAACGCTCTTATTATTCAGCTAAAATGTTGAAAAAAGTTGCACTTTTAATGCATATACTATTAAAATAACTGTACTAATTGCTTATTATCATCACAAGCAAAAGATGGGTCTGACTATTTGGAAGACAAGTGTATTTTTCGAAACTACGTTTAACAGGACATACAAAATAAAACATGGAGATAGAAGCATTTCTGAGGCTTTAAATGGGCTGACGAAAGTGTTGTTCTTGCCTAGACAAGTATTTCATGGCCACTTTGACCTTGGTCTAATGACCTAAAATCCAATGACCTCAAAATCGACAGGGTCATCTTGTAGTCATGACAAACCTCTACACCAAATCCAATGACTGCAGTCTTATGCATTCTCTAGTTACTGTTTAGTAAAGATTTCAGTGGATTAGGCCACAGTGATCTAATGACCATACAATTAATGAGTCATCTTCTCCTTTGTTCGGACATGCTTTTTGTCAAGGCCCTGTGGCCTTTGGACCTCACAATGAATAGGGTCATCCTCTACTCTAGTCATGACCGATGTGAACGTAACACAAAACCTTCTGTAGTTATTGGTTGAAAAAACATTTAGTGGCTGAGGACACGGTGACCACCTTGTCCTGTTCAGCTCCATTCAAAAGGGATAACATACTTGTCATGGCCCATCTTTTCTTAAAATCTAAAAGTGGTAGACCATTGCAGTTTCTAAATAAATGGTCAGACAAGCTTTCAGTCGCCAAACCCATGGTGACCTTGATCGTTTAACCTCACAATTAACAGGGTCGTCTACTAGTCAGGACCCACCTCTACAACAAATCGTAAGACTGTAGGCCATACTGTTTCCATTTGGTTGATAAGGCAGCAGTAAAATTGGCCTATGACCATAAAATCAATAGAATTCAGCTATCATTAATATCTAACTTCTACATCAATACTTACAACTGTAGATCAATGCTTTCCTAATAATTGGCCATGTCTTTTGACCTTCAAATCAAAAGGCTCATATACTAGCCTGAAAAACTGGAAACTGTAGCTCAAAGCCTCTATATACATGTATTGGTTCAACAAGCTTTTGGAGGGGTCATCTACTAGTCATAAATAACCTTCACGCAAAATTTTAGAACTGTTTGCCCAAGTGTTCTCTAGTTATTGGTCAAACAAGCTTTAAGTGATAAATGCCACAATGGCCTTGATCTTTTGGACCTTAGAATCAATAGGGGTCATTTACTATTTTGGACAACCTCCATACTTAATATTATGCTATTTGTGGTAATAGCCGTGGTGACCTTGACTTTTGAACTCTTTTCAATAGGGGTCATTTTGTCATGACAAATCTCCACAGCAAATTTTAGGACCGTCTAAAGTCAAAGTGTTCTCCTGTATTCAGAGTTTGCTCTCACTTATAAAAGCAGGCCATACAAATATGAACAATCACATTGTTATAAAAAGAAAGTATAAATAAAATTGTTAAAATATTTTATTTCAGTTATAGATGAATCAATTGTAAACCAGCTACAATATATCCTCTAATGAATGCATATAATTATACTTATGGTCAAATTCTAACAAAATAATAAACATGCAACCATCATTCATGTCATCATCTAACGACAAGCTGCCAACACACAAAACTCGTCCAGTCTCTATCTGGCAAGCTGCCAACACACAAAACTCGTCCAGTCTCTATCTGGCAAGCTGCCAACACACAAAACTCGTCCAGTCTCTATCTGGCAAGCTGCCAACACACAAAACTCGTCCAGTTTCTATCTGGCAAGCTGCCAACACACAAAACTCGTCCAGTTTCTATCTGGCAAGCTGCCAACACACAAAACTCGTCCAGTTTCTATCTGGCAAGATGTCTATCTTCATTCTGTAAGGAGTTATCACTTGAAGAAATTCCACACTTTGTTTTTTGTTATGTTTTTTTTTTCACATACCACTTCAAAAGTATGAAAGTTTCACAGCAAAAAACAAGTTTGACCGTTTTCTCCTTCATCAAATTTACCTAAATTTATGTGGTTTTAGTAACAAGAGCTGTCAGAAGGACAGCGCGCTCGACTTTTTTAGTGCTTGCCTATAAAACAAAACTTTGACAGTTAAGGGCACACAAGACTTTAACTAGGAATTTCTAAGTACAAATCAAGAAACATTTTCACAGAGTTATCTTCTCTTGCTTACAGATAGGTCTCATGATGGCACATAAGAACTCCAACTTCCAAAGTAATATCTCAAATGGTTAAGTCAACAAGTGGACAAGAATGAAAATCTTAACTGAGTTTCTAAGTCAAAAAGGGCCATAATTCAAATAAAATCCTTAACAGAATTACCTTCTCCTGCCATGTTTTGGGACCATGATGGTAAACAAGTATTCCAACTTTCAAATTAATATCTCAAACAGTTCAGTCAAAAAGTGGACTGGTACTAAAAACTTAACCAAGATTCTAAGTCGATAAAAGGCCTTAATTTTTAAAACAAATCCTTGACAGAGTTACCTTCTCTTGCGTACAGATGGGGGTAATGATGTGAAATAGCATTAAAAGTTTCAAAGCAATATCTCAAAGGGTTAAGGCAATAAGTGGATTTTACCCATATTCAATGTATTTTCTAAGTCAAAAAGGGGCATAATTCTGTCAAAAAACCTTGACAGAGTTATGTCCTCTTGTCTGTTGATGAAGGTCGTGATGGTAAACAAGTATGGTCAGTTTCAAAGCAATACCTCCAATGGTTTTGAAATAAAGTGAGGTGGTACAAAAAACTTAACCAAGCTCAATACACTTTCTAAGTCAAAAAAGGGCCATAATTCTGTCAAAAACCTTGACAGAGTTATGTACTCTTGTCTGTAGATGGAGGTTATGATGGTGAACAAGTATGGTAAGTTTCAAAGCCATACTTGTAATACTTCTGAAATAAAGTGGGGTGGTACGAAAAACTTAACCAAGGTGTGACGCCAACGCTAACGCCGACGCCGACGCCGACGCCGGGGCGAGTAGGATAGCTCCCCTTTTCATAGAAAAGTCGAGCTAAAAAGTACTGAATCAATAAGCTTTGACTATTATCATTGTCACCTTTTAACACAGTGACTGTAACAGGAAAAAAGCAGCCTTCACCCTGCAGTTTAGCAGTCTCTAATAATTAACACATGAGTCTAGTGCCAGGCAGCCCATCATGTATTTCTATTCATTCTGTTGACTGCTTCATTCCAGTATAATCACAATTGATGACCGTTCTAGAATTCTTTATTCATAGAAGGTAAAATCCAGTGCACAACTTGTCAAAGTCACATGGTGTGAAAAATGTGCAATCCCATTTGGATCTGGGACACTCAGAATACAGTTCCACAGCTTGCACATTTTCTCTCTCAAATTAGTGAGCAGTTCTACACCCTGACAGAATGTGAGAGTTTGAATGTCAGATATCAAGAGAGTGACCGAGTGAGTGTTGAGCATGATGAGTGCCAAAATTGAGTATGTGAGTAAAAATCTAGTGTTTATCACAAATTAAGTGCTATTTGTGAGTGTCAGAAATTGAGTGTATGACTTTGTATCAGAAATTGAGTGTGTGTGTGTGAGTGCCAGAACTTGACTGCATCTCAGGAACTAAGTGACCATGTGTGACTGTCAGAAATTTGACTGTACGAGTGTCAAAAATTGAGTGTGTCATAAGGCACAGCCAAGGCTATGTTGTATTTAGAGGCATCTGGTTGGTCATATGATGATAAGCATATCTCAGGAACATCTTTGGTGGAGAGATCTTCAAGGAAGTTGTAGGCATTAAGTGTACCTCTGTATCTGAAAGATTTGAAAATATGTTCAAAATGAGCAAACAGGCTTGGATAATAAATTAGTTTGTTTTGTTCATCTCTACTTCACTAATGTGAATTGCTTGAAAATGATATCAAAATCTATCGGTTTTTTCCAATCTCAGATGCTCTTCCAGACAATATCTATAGCACAGATGGACACCCTTGAACAACAAACCCCCTGTAAACCTGGATCTGGATATTCTCATGTAGGAATTCAATGCCCCTAATGACTTTTTTAACTGAAAGCTGTCAAGGCCAAGTGACTAGAAGATTTCTCTGTAAATTATTACCATATAACTATACTCTAAGCCTGCTTTTGAGGCCTGTAATATGATTATGTTTTTAAGCATGGAAATGTTTATTTCCTCTAAATATCTCAGATGCCGAGTCATTTTTCTCTCACTAATGATTGTGACATCATGTAACATTAACAGTCAGCTACTTGCAGGGAAATTTGCAAATACTGCTTTGCTATCAAGGAAAGCACCAAGCACCAAGATATGAACAAAAATTATGTTTAAATTGGCATAAAAACATACAAACAAACAAACTGCTCTAAAGAAGTAATTTGCCTTTAGTTTATACTAATTAATTTTAATTTTATTATGTTGGAAGCTATTAGCTTATTCAAAACACTCTCAAACTCGTTCCTAGAACCAACCAGTAATATGCAATGAGTGTAATGTTTCTTGCTCAAATGCTTGCTCAAAGAAACAACAGCTTGCCCCTGACAGTGTTTGAACCCATGCAGCCAGTAGTCCTTAGAAAAGTCCGCTGTGTTAACCTATTGACCAGGCTGCCACTAGAAATTGCCTTTGTTATTCTATATCACTTATTTGGTGTAATATATATTATAAAATATAAAGTTACCTCCTATGGGCCATGTTATCATAATCATCAATATCTGGGAATTTATTGGAGGAGATATTTGCCACAATCAGTGTTTTGTCATGGAATCTACTGTATTTTACTGGATGCCTGAAATTGAAATATACCATAGAATGCATATGTGTATCAATAAAAAAAACTATAAAGACACAAATTTTATATCAACAAGAACACCAAACTTCTCACCACTGATTCAGAAAGCTTGTGGGACTAGTAATCGGTCACTTCCAAATAAATTGTTACAAATCAGCTTTAAAGAACTAGATTAACAAACAAAAAGACTATACATATTTACACCAAGCCATGCCATTGTCTGTCCTTTTCTTGGTTTGATTCATGGTACACCAACACAATTTAGGTCAAATGGTGCCAAAACAGGAAAAACTAGAACTGTCACTATCATCGTGAATACCCCCGCATACCACTTTGTCAGAATCAACAGTGGCCATTTAGATCTCAAGGACAACCTCTCTGCCAAATCTGAGGTTACTAAGCCAGTGCATTGCTAAGTTATGTTTTCTACATGCTTCAAATGTGAAAATGTCAAAATCACTACATTGTGGACAGGACATTCTTTAGCAATTGAGAAGAAAAGCTTTTTTTTTGTCAAGGTCCCTGTGACCTTTGACCCAGTGACCTAAAAATCAAAAGGGGGCACTTTATAGTCATGATCAACATCCATGCCAAATATGAAGACTGTGGGTCAAAGGAATCTAAAGTTATTGGGCAGACAAACTTTTTGAAGTCAAAGTCCCTGTGACCTTTGACCTGGTGACCTCAAAATCAATAGGGGTCATCTACTAATCATGACTAACCTCCATGCCAAACATGAAGACTGTGGGTCAAAGGAATCTTAAGTTATAGGGCGGACAAGCTTTTTGAAGTCAAGGTCCCTGTGACTTTGACCTTTGACCTGGTGACCTCAAAGTCAATAGGGGTCATCTACTAATCATGACTTACCTCCATGCCAAATATGAAGACTGTGGGTCAAAGGAACCTTAAGTTAATGGGTGGACAAGCTTTTTGAAGTCAAGGCCCCTGTGACCTTGACCTTTGACCTGGTGACCTCAAAATCAATAGGGGTCATCTACTAATCATGACTAACCTCCATGCCAAATATGAAGACTGTAGGTCAAAGAAATCTTAAGTTATTGGGCGGACAAGCTTTTTGAAGTCAAGGCCCCTGTGACCTTGACCTTTGACCTAGCGACCTCAAAATCAATAGGGGTCATCTACTAATCATGACTAACCTCCATGCCAAATATGAAGACTAAGGGTTAAAGGAATCTTAAGTTATTGGGCGGACAAGAAAAAACCGACGGAGGGCCGGACAGCCGGACGGACAAGCTAATTCCAGTATACCCCCCTTACAACTTTGTTCTGCGGGTGTATAATGATTTTGGCTAAGCTCAGGTGTAACAAAACTTAAGCAACACCAGGTGTCAAAATCACCTCACCTGCTGGAGCAAAGAGATGCATAGACTTCAGTTATTCGAACCCATTTAGTCCCTTAATACGATGATGCAGCAAATTATACAGTAGCTGCAATTCAGATGCCTCAACCATTAAGGACAACCCCTCAGCAACAAAGGGATTGTCAGGATATTTAATCATTGTAAAAGGTACAATTTACAACCTAAGAAGAGATTTATAATAACCCATATTACTTTATGCATTACACACTAATATCGTCGCAAACAACAGTCACCTATTATGCCATTCCCACAGTTTGGTTGCCATTCTTCTATCCCACACACATAGGAACCCATCATCGGAGCCAGAAACCACTTTCCAATCGTCCATCTGAACACAGGACACTCTAAACGAATGACCAATCAAAGTCTGTTCAGGCTGGCTAGTTCTCAAGTCATAAACTCTCAACCTATGGAAGAAAACATTTTTTCTTTGTAACTATGGCAAAAAATAATATTCAAAATAGATATACAGTACAACCTCAGCATAGAAATTCTCTTTTAGAGGCAATAGTTTGGTTGTTGCTGAGGGGTGCTTCTCTAGAGAGGTTAAATATAGTGTAGTTTTGCTTTGAGAAGCAAGTGAAACTGTTGCTGTTGAGGGATATTTGCTCAAAAGAGGGCCGATTTGCAGAGATTGCATGGTATACCTTCTCTTGTTTTTCAAAATATTTTAACATATTAATGCAGATGAAGGGGTATTTTATTACCTTTTTGAAAAATTTTAACTCCAACATTTATTTAGCACAATCATTGAGTGAGAAATGCAATTTATCTCGCAAATTTATAATTAAATGTATAATTAAATGTATAAGACTTATTCCAAAGGTGTCAAGCTATCTTAAGCTGGGAGAGAGTAGTTTACTTAAATTTCAATCAGTTAATATTTTGGAATGATAAAATGGTTTAATCCATATTGAAAGGTGGACAAGTCCACTTGACATATTTAGCAGGTATTGGTTATATGTGATGTAATATGACACTGATGTAGTTCATTTTATTACTTTACGTCTGAGCATTGCAATAAAATTATGATAAAAGGAGAAATTGATGTAAAGCATGTACTAGTCTTAAAATTCCCTAGAACAGATCCCACTTAGATCCCAATTTTATATCACAGCAGTCCCAGCCCAGCAAAAAAACAACTGGAGAAAAAAAATTAAAGATCTAGGCATCATTAGAGAAGCAACTTTATAAATTTGAGTACGGTCATTTTTTTTTTTTGGTTGAGTTTTTACATTGCACCACACAGTTGAGGTCATATGGCCTGCATATACACATTTTTTCAGGTACAAACTAGCACCTGAGTAGAACCACCCACATTCTGTAAGTTACGTGGATAGCTTCTTGACATGGAATAATCCAAAGTCTCTGGCTGGAATCTAACCCAAATATATGAAGGGTAAGTGGTTTTAAGTTAATGACCTATAGATTGCTAATGACACCCCAAACCTTATAATTATTACTTAAAAAGTTCAACCTGGTACCCAAAAGAAATGTCATGTCTTTCTTACTTCCTATCCCCTGAGCCGGTAACCAGTTGGTGTGCTGGACTGTCTTGTAGATTCATACATGAAATCATCCAGGTGTGACCCTCTAATGTCTGTTGTAACCTTGATGTCTTCATGTCATATATTCTAACCTGATGTACATGAAAAATAGATCATTATTGTCATGTGTTATATCTTCTGTAAATAGCAATTTCAAACACAAATAAAAACAACAATTAAGGGACTGGAGGCTGTTTGGACAATTCTTCTAGAAGAATATGACTGTAGTTATACACAATGTATTAGCTGCAAGCAAAAAGGTGCCCAGGACATTCAAAGAACTGGAGTTACTGAATGAGCCACAAAAAGGATGTCCCAGTATGAAACATTAGTTCATGTATGCCGGCAACAACTGAATCTACCCATAAAACAAGTTGATTCAGATCAACATCTGCACTTTCAGTCAGTTAATATTTTTTTATCAAATTTCCCTAAAAATGGTAAATGTTTTTGGCCAGATTGAAACATGGACAAGCCGACAATTGCACGGGTTGAGAATTATCACTAACTACTTTGATTAAAATTATTTCAAAATTTTTCACTAAAATTTGAGATTATGTAGGGCCCTACTTTTAAAGATTCAATGTCATGCAAGTGAATATTCATTTGCTCTGATCATAGCCTTAATTTGTGCATGAAAATGATTAAAATTATACATAATAATTACCTTAAAACCATCCATCAAGCCACCATAAGAACCTAGAGCAACTCCCAACACTGATTGGTCAGTTTTAACATCAATGACATCTATTGGAGCACCAATCAAATTGTGTATCTCAGTCACCTGATCAGTCACATGACTACTATGCCTGGTTCCTGGTAATTGTGGTTGGTAAAGCTGGACTGAGCATTCTTTAGAGAATATCACAGCAGGAATATCAGAGTTCCCATTATACAGCATCATATTGTGGACCTGTAAAATTCAAAATAATTTATTATTATTAATATTCTGTATTTCAGTTGCGGAAACTATCTAGTTAAATACACTAGTTCCTTCTATGCAAAAGAACTTTTTGAACAAATATGTATAAGTAACTTTTTGAACAAATATGCACAAGGTTCTATCATTGAGGCTGGGGTTATTCTTTTTAATGTTAAACATGTCCTCACATCTTCAATTATTTATCACTTTAAATCTGTTTCAAAGGCAATAACCAGTATATTTTTCTGTGTTGTTACCCAAGTAAGGCTTCAACCCACAAACCCTAGGTATCAAGGCAGACTTTGCGACTAGTAAACAATGTCACTCACCATTTTGTACATCAAAACTGACAATATAAAAAGCAGATTGCATATCATAAACTTACTGTATTACCAAAATCAAAATGTTGCACAACACTAAATTCTTCCTCCTTTTTATCCCTATGAAGAACATCAACGTAAGGGCCATAACTGGCAGAGATTGTTGTCCCATCAGCTGACAAACAGATCTTTGGGCAATACTTGTTCCCGGTTGTTGGTATAAAGTTTTGGAATGGCTGTGTACCAAACTCTAAACTCCAAATATCAACATTTCCTGTGAATAAAGAGTCTATTCTTAATACTGTCTAGTTTAAGCATACCAGTCACTAAAAATATATAAAGTGGCGGAAGGGTACAATCAAACAAAACTGTTTTCTGAAATATTTCTTTAAAACAGGCATTTTATAGAATTGTTTACAAAGGTGAAGTTCTATCTCATCACCTTTAAAATCTTTATCTCAAGTAGGATATTCCCGTCTGTTCAGGCAGCCAGTGCTCTGATTCTTTTCCTAGCATATATTAGTTTTACATGTAAATTATAAATATAAATAACAAATATTTATGAATATAAAACACTGTGTCATAACTATAGCATTATTCTCTAAAAGTTGAATTTGAAGTTAAAATTTAAACCATAAAATACTGTAAGATAATATTCTTTGCAGAAATGTACTAAAAATGCAACTTATGAAATTTAAGAAATGAAAAAGCATTCATGCACATATTGTTTTTTGCTCTTTATTGTTCAATTAAGCTGTGTTTCGGCACAAATTTACTACAAGAAATATGTTTAGGGGTTTATCACATTTTGCTTGTTAACAAATTATTTTATTTTTTTTCCAAAAAAAAGTGTAGGCCATGGCCTACATAAAGCTATGCCAACTGTGCTTGGTATAAAAAGTAAACCAGTTTCCACCATGAGACATACCCTGACTATAAGCTGCTACAACGATATTATCTGAGGTACAAACACTGTTTACAATATTCTCGTGAAGACCGCCATCACCGGGATCTACAAGTAAAGAGGTAGACGATGGCTGGAACACACAACTATCCCCGTCTGACAAGTTCCAAAGCTTTACATCACCAGACGTGTACCTTGTTAAGGTAGAAAATAACAATGTTTGATCACATTATGTTAATTTTTTCAATTGAGTATTGGTGTGAAGATTATGACTAAATTTGAATTTAAATAGTTTTGACTTTCTTAGTTCAATATGCTCATTTTCTCATTGTCAAGATGGGCTGCATTAGCTATATTATATTTCCAAAGAATTACTTTTATAACGGTGATTGAATTATATAATTGACAATGACAAATATTAAGGATAAAATATAACACCTGGAGTCCATAGAATTTAATAAGACTCTTCTTTTTTTTAATAAAGATACGTTTTTAAAAGTGCAGTCTAATCATGGTCTGCACTATCAATTATTCACTTCTTGCATACATTTATTTTGAAATTTTGCCTACAAATGATGTATAGTTTTGTCCAGATTGAAAGATGGTCAAGTTCATTTAATATATTTACAGGATAAGACACACCTTAATGATTTATTTTGTATATGTATAAATATATTCTGCTGTAATTATTTTAAAACTGGTATATAGAATCTAGACAGTTTGAACCCATCTTTGCAGCTTGACCACACATTATTCTCTTGACTACAAAGTATGCTTTACATCAAAACCCCTCAATTCAACAATGGAATATTCCAAAAATGCCAAGCAAGACAGGCCTGTTATACAAATTTAGCATACTGAGAAGAACCTGTTAGATATGGTTGTTTCAACTTACCCTGCAACAACAATATCACCACATGAATGGACGGCACTTAGAATCTTCCCTTTCACATGCTCTAGAGGTAACACTTTACCTGTTCTATTCTGCAATAACAAATCATTATGGTGAAATATAAACGTAGCAAACTTAACACAAAACATGTGTCATAATAAGGTGGGCCAAGCAATAGACTGCCAGTTTATTCTTTCATACAATCAGGCAGCGCATTGTCATGTTGATTGTTGTGAAAGGATATTTTTGCCCTCATAAAAACATTGTTAATGAGATATTTAAGCTGAATAATGTGTTATTTTGTATTCAAATGGTATTAAAAAGGATGTTCAATGTGATTCATTTTTAAAATAATGGCATTAGGAGATGACTGACACATAAGACCACTCATCTTGTCTGTAGTAGTGTGTCCCATAATATTATGTCCCAGCCAAAACCTATTTGTTAACATGCCAAATGATAAAACAAAATGCAAATGCTTGATACACATCTGTGTTAAAGACCCCCTCTGAATAAACTACATTTTAGATAAGGCCATTCTTCATCAATCATTCATTGATTAAATAGAACTAAGAAACCTCTGAATAAAGATCACTCATATGTAAAGGTCATATGTGGTCTTTCACTTGAATGGCCTTTGTTCACGTCAGGTTTGATTAACCATACTTGAATTATATTTTCCAGCAAGGGCAACATTGTCACAATATAAGCCCATCACATAAGCTTTTGACAGATATGTGGGTATTAAAGATATGCATATAGGAGATATGCTCTGAGCAATATCTGAATATACTATCATCTCTGGTGATTTTTTTATCTGAACTTTGACCCCCACATGTGACCTTGACCTTAGCCGCAGGGACCTAAATTTTGGGGGTGACATTCCGCCTCACAATAGTGAACATTTGTGCCAAGTTATATTGAAATCCCTCTATGCATGTGGAAGTTTTGCTCCAGACAAGCATTTTTCAATGATCTGTAAGTGTGACCTTTACCTTTGACCTAGAGGCCTGGTTCATGCGCCTGTCATGGCTTCTCATAGTGGTGAACATTTCTATGAAGTTTGATTAAAATTCCTCCATGGGTGTAGGAGATATGCATCGGACAAAATTTGGAGGCCGCCCACCTGCCTGTTACAGGGGAAACTATAATACGCCACGTTTTTCAAACGGGCGTTTAAAAAGTCTATGAACTGTAATGAAATAAAATTTATACATTTCATGGTGCCACAAACCTTCCAGTTAGATACAAGGGTTCTCTGCCGTTCCACATTATGCCGGACAATTTGTTTCCAGTTGCTTTTCTCCCGTGTTGTGTAAACTTTCTCCTGGCCTAATCTGTGACATAGTCTACACCATAACAGTTCATCCTCAGCCAGGCTACACCAACTCTTACTGACCTGAATAGCAAATACATAATTTCTGTGTTTGTGCAAGTTTCATAACCACTTCCCTGACAACAGGAAGTGCAATTTGACCATTACTTAACTCATTTTGAATTTTCATATTGATATTGCTAAATCCATAAAAATGAATGTTGTAAAGGTTTACTTATTCTTAGTAATCCTTCCAGTGTGGGTTTATATTCTAAGTGGAAATTTGCATTCCTTAAAAATTTTTTTTTTAAATATTTAAATGATTTGAACATGATGCTATGAAAACTTATTAATGTGGTTCAATTTTATAATAACAGCATTAATATAGGACACTTATTGATAAAACAGCTTTAAATTGGACTTCAATAAAGGACTGTTTATATTTTAGTACCACCAATTGTCCCATTATATTATGTCCAAAATTCAATGCTTAAACTATATACATGTAACATTTTTCCTAATTCGATATTCAGTATTAAAATAATTCAGATGAAACCGCTATTAAACAACTATATAATCATCAAAGAAGCTTTTCTTTAATGTTCAATTTTTGCCCAAATATATATTGGCGAACAAATTAATGCATATACACTGAAATAATTTCCAATTTCACCTGTGTGCTACAAGCTCGATTCAGCATTATCTTAAAATTCATTCACTGAATCTTACTGTTATCTGAAACTAAATACCTGTGCACAGCTACACAAATCTTTTATATCAAGGAACTGGAAAATCTTCACTGCCACCTCTCTTGGTAAGTCAATATCGAAAAATGGTATCTCAGTGATTTCATCCTAAAATCATGTAAAAAATATCATTTAATATATGTAAAGTTGTAAACACTTATTGATTTGACTAGACCAGCTACAAAGTTATACATGAAAAATCAATAGACCAGAGACAAATATTCATTTCACAAAGGTTATAGAAGATATTTATAATGTATGTCTAGTGTCTACATCCCTGTGATAGGGAGATGCTGGGTTGATATTACTCGGGTTTAGACAGAACAAAACTACACCAGATACTGATCATGCAGCCCTAAAACAGAAAGAAGTTTATTTAGAATCAGCTCAAGACATCAAATTATGGGGTTCTATCCTTTGTCAGGCTGCACATTTTACTAATCCAGTGACATTTGGCACCCAACAATTGGCGCCAGTCTATCATAAACAATAATGCTTGATGCTTTGATTCAATTCAAATTGTTCCCTTTGCCCATTAAAACATTTAGGATTAATTTAATTAAAGTGGCATATTATGTAAACATTACAGAACTGTTCACTAATGAGGGTTTTTGTTTGTAGGCAAACAGGTAGCTAAAAGAAGATTAATAAGGGCTGAGAAATGATGTTTCCCACCCTGTGTCATACATAGTCATTCATAACTGATATTTAAAGTCTAATAAAGTCTAGTCCAACTAATTAGACTTGTCAAAGAGCAGACATGGGGTAATCGTAATCGGTAATTTAATTTAATTTAATCGATTACAATTTTTTGAGTAATCACAGTAATCAGTAATCATAATTTTTTTCCTGTAATTTTATCATAATTTAATCAATTACATGACCAATTAATCAGTAATCACAATGATTACATGTATGATTACAATACATGTTAATATACGGACCTGGTTAAGCTAAAAAAATTGCTGAACAAACATACATATAAAGGTTAAAAAAGTGCCAGTGTCAATGCCTACTAATTGTCTTAGGTAGTGTAGGTGAATTAAATGCAGTCACCCAGGTCAGATTTGATGACACTTGTGTTTTAATAAGGTGATTAAAAGGTTACTGACAGATTGACCCAATGCATAAATGATTGTCACAATTATACCACTTAAATTTAGCTGTGAAATTATAACAATTGCCTGGATAGGTATATTATCACTTATTGAGAAGACTTGCGTCCTGAAACCAAATACATTTGAAAAACTAATGAACATTAAATGTAATATGAGAATCTAGCTTAGTAAATAGGAGGCAACACATATACATATGTAGACTGAATTAATTACTGTAAAACTAAGCTGGATTATTTTTTTGTACATTTGTTGTATTGAAATGTTCAATAAAACGATAGTGTTGAACTTTTTGCATTTCTTAACTTATGTACATGACGCCCGTTTAACTCACAACGAGTGAAAAATGTCCATCGGTAAAAATGTTGTGAGCAACTTCCGTTCCTCGTTGTGAGCACCCATCTTTGACGTGTGACACGATAAACAAGGTGAGTTTTTCATAATTTTTGAAGATTACAGACATTTATGTAAAAAAATCGAAATGCAGTTAGCTAGCGATGTGTTTTCCGAATATGCACATGTTAAAGATATTGCCTGTTGGTGGACCATTTTTGATGAAATACCGTGCGACGCAGTCACTCGGGGTAGCAGGAAAAATGGAGACAACTTCTCTTTGGACCTAATTTAACATTGAAAAACGTCGATTCTGGTGACGTTTTGTGCATTCTAACCTTAAAAAACAGATGCCCACAAGTCTCAGCGTAAATTATTATCTGAAAGTCTTCATAGAAACGAAGATATACCCTTTTTTGCTTTAATCCTCGTTGTGAGCACCATAACCTCGTTGTGAGCAAGACAAGCGCAGTGCGTGTATGGTTTTAATAATTATGTAATTCAGATGGTGAAAATATAATTTTCAATCTACCACAGCAATTAAAACGTTTTTGCACAGCAGCATTTCTTGGCAAGGCGTTGTACATACCCCAAAGGGAGGCATATTAGTTTTGAACTGTCCCTCTGTCAGTCTCGTTCAATCTGTCCGAAAACTAAACATTGGCCATAACTTCCTTATTAGTAAACGGATTTTGATTCGATTATTTTGAACACAACATCCCTTTAGCACACAAATTCGTTTGTCCTACGGACCTGTATTTTTTTTACCTTTGGCCCCTGAATGGCCTTTACCTTGAAAGGTCAAATTGTCCAAAAAACATTTAAGATTGGCCATAATGTCCTGGGCATAATGTTTAGGCACAACACATCTTTGGACAAGGCCTTTCAGCTATCCTATATTCTTTTGGACCTTGACCCTGAATGACCTTCACCTTGAAGGTCAAATTGTCCAAAAACTTAAAAAATGGTCATAACTTCCTTTTAGCATACGGATTCTACTCATATTTTGAAACAACACCCCTTTAGGCAAGACCTTAAAACTGATCTGTATTTTTTTACCTTGTACCCTGAAAGACCTTCTAGAACATCCAAAAACTTTAACATTGGTCATAACTTCTTTATAAGTAAGTGGAATTAATTTTTATTTGGACACAATGCCCCATTTGGACAAGACCTTCCAACTGACCTATATCTATTTCACCTTGACCTTCAATGACCTTCACATTGAAGATCTAATTGTCCAAAAACAAATAATCTATCTGGTCCATAAATCAAAGGACAAAGCACCACTTAAGGGGCATTGTCAACTTACCGTGATAGTTCTAGTTTTACATAACTTGGCCAGTCTTCAGCTCAGGATAAACACATGTATGTGTGTATCACACAGATTGTGAAATTGTTGAAATATTCATAAACTCCCCGTGATGTTCAGTCTTGCCACACTAAAGTATACAAAATAAAATAGCTGATTTACCTCCCTTTCTGATTAGTTCTTCTGTTTAATTCTGATGACTTGTGAATATGAAGAATAATTTTCAAAAAAAAAAAAGAAGAAGAACTATTGCAAAGAAAAACTATTGTACCAAAACGTTTGATTGCTTTTGGTAGATTGAAAATTTTATTCTTGCCATTTTGAAATACATATTAAAACCAGACAAGCACTGCGCTTGTCTTGCTCACAACGAGGTTATGGTGCTCACAACGAGGATTAAAGCAAAAAAGGTATATCTTCGTTTCTATGAAGACTTTCAGATTATAATTTACGCTGAAGACTTGTGGGCATCTGTTTTAGGTTAGAATGCACAAAACGTCACCAGAATCGACGTTTTCAATGTTAAATTAGGTCCAAAGAGAAGTTGTCTCCAGTTTTCCTGCTACCCCGAGTGACTGCGTCGCACGGTATTTCCATCAAATTGTCCACCAACAGGCAATATCTTTACATGTGCATATTCGGAAAACACATCGCTAGCTAACTGCATTTCAATATTTTTACATAAATGTCTGTAATCTTCAAAAATTATGAAAAACTCACCTTGTTTATCGTGTCACACGTCAAAGATGGGTGCTCACAACGAGGAACAGAAGTTGCTCACAACATTTTTACCGATGGACATTTTTCACTCGTTGTGAGTTAAACGGGCGTGTGTACATGTAATCAGTAATCATAAATGTAATCTGATTACTCCTGTCAGTAATCAGTAATTTAATCAATTACAATGTCAAAATGGAGTAATCAGTAATTTAATTTAATCAAGCATTTTGACAATAATCATAATTTAATCGATTACAATTGTCAAGTAATCACCCCATGTCTGTCAAAGAGACACCGAGATAATTTTGGACGGGCGCTGTCTTTTTTCAACTGGTTTGACAGTAATAAAAAAAGTCTGAAAAATGGGTCAAACCGTTCACGCCAAATTAATTAGGCTAAAGTCAAAAGTCTTACAATATCAGATATCAGCTTGTCAAGAAGTCTTTCAGTTGTAATTTCTCTATTTGTTTTTTCTACAAATATATCTTCTAGTTTTGTCAACTTTTGCCTTTTGTTGTTCTGTCTTTTAATTTCACTGTTGATATTCTGTGTTGAATTATTCTCTACTGATTTGTCAAGTTCAAACACATTCCCATTGTTACTGTGTAATAATTTTCCAGCAATTTGAAATGGATAATAAAGGCTGCTTGTCCCTGCTCCATGCAAATCATTCTTGATCAAATTTTTGCATGATTCTGTTTCTAAGTTTTGACTTTTATTCTCATGCCAGGCTGTGTTATGAACACTGGGCCTGACAGGCCCATTCCCATCGTTTTGTGTAGGAATATCTTTATGTTTTAGTTCTTTTCCCCATTGTCTTCTAAATGTATCTAACTGTTCATCAGCATTCATGTTTAAAGTTGTCAGAATCGTGCAGAAAACGTCTTAATTCTAGCGTTTTAACCATGTTTATTTATTTTTATTAAAGAGAAAGTCTGTATACAACAAACGCTTGCAAATTCTCTTTTTCTCATAAGCGTCTACTTACGCGGATGGAACAAAGTTTGACTGTGTCGATATTTTTCTCACAAATGAAGACTGTGTAGATAAATGGTAGTGAACCAGACTGATCAAAGGTCGCATGCAGACAGCTACTTTTGCTTTTAGTTTAGAGGAAATTATCTAACAAAATGGGAGCATTATCAAGCATATCAAACTATTTTTTTTCAAATCCGTGGATAATTATTGTCCTTTTTCTTTTGTATTGCTTCATTTATGCAATGTCAGTTTTATTTTCGGGCCCAAAACCAGGGAGAAATCCATTCTCGGTTGCCCATGTCAGACCACCAAAACCACTGGTCACAGATCATAAATTGAGGAAAAAGGTACTGAAACAAAGTAAGTATATCTGCTTTTCTTCAATTTTGTATTAAATAATGAATGAACAAATTGTTGAAAAGTTCTTTTGTTTACTCTTTTACATTTTAACCATCATAATTAATGTTTTATTGTTTGTTTTTTTTTCAATATCATACATCTATATTGCTTGACTTTAGACTTTTTAGTTATAGGCTACTTATAGATTAGTTTGAGGGCTTGCCCAACAAATTGTGTGCCAGGGCTTTTTACTAAGTATATATGACTATTGCCCTTCTGAAAGACTGACATCTATGTAATATCAAGTCGTAAAATAAGTCGATCTTAAGCAGTTGAAATATTGAGACTTAATCAGTTAATAATTTATTGCCTGAGCTCATATGAAATTTATTTAAGGCAAAGCCTATAAATGGGGAAGTCATTAAAAATGCCTTTCACTTTTCTATTTTAAAGGTGTCATTCGGTATATCATGCACCGCTTCCGTTTTCACTCGGAACACTGGTCGAGACGATTATTATTAATCCGAAAAGTTAATATTGGTTCCGTTATCGGAATACAATGCATATTATCATTGAGTTACATTGTAATTGGCAGCGAATAACTATAACTGACACTGAAAATTTCATTGATAGGTATACCGTATAGATTTCTTTATATTTTTAAATTGTTTTTTATTTGATTTTCTTTAAAATATACATGTGTTGTCTGTAGCCAGGCAAGCCAGCCACTTCAAAGCTGCGGGCCCGGACTTTGACTTCCAAGTATTAAAACAATTCAGCATAAATAACTTGTTCCATTGAAAAGAAATTCCAAATAATATTTCATACTGATACTCAGTGACATAGGATTTTGTTAATGAAAATAACAGAACCTTTTTGACATTTACCTGAAACATCATGGAATACCTGTCTTATGTGTATCAATTGGAATAATATGTGTCATAAATGTAAGTTGTAGGTTTAACCGGATGTCCTGATTTCTTTTAGTAAAACGTTACTGCTTTTATTTTAAAAGTTATGCACATGTACATGTACACGTCAGTCAGTTATGTAAGCAATTAATGCCAACTGAACGAAATATATTACAGTTAAAACTTAAAAAAAAAACTTTCAGGGTTAATTAGTTTCTGCCTTCACAATAACATAAGTTCATGATTATGAAAAGTCTGCATATCAAATAAGAATGATAATGATTGAAGTAAGACATTAAAAATCAAAGTTATAAACACAGACAGTCATGGGGTTTGGAGCTCAAAACGCCTTTAAAATCCAAATAAAATGCATATTTGTCAATCCCAGCACATGTACTGATCATATATATCAAAAAAACTTAATATAAGCCGTTTTGAAAAAAATTCATATTTCAACATCTATAATAATCATTATATATATATTATTAAATATGCATTTTATTTGGATTTTAAAGGCGTTCCCCAAGTGTCAGTGGTTATAAAGTAATCAAACATGTGAAAGTTTTTTATGTTGATTTGTATAAAAAAAAACTTGCTGTACTAAACTGGTTGTAATCTACAAATTAACTATAAAACCTATGACTTTTCTATTAATAGTATGATATGTGATAATTTAATCAGAAATATGATAAACTTTACTGTTACATAGGTAAATTACAGTTTATTTACATGTGACAATGTCAATCAGCTCATGTTTACTGATTGACCTGTTGTTTTTTTAGAAATTTTGTAACTGATATATAATTTATTTTCTCATAGAATGATACAAGTTTACAAGATTAATATAAATATTTTGATATGTGATGAAAATTGAGATTTATTGCCTACATGGCCTAAGAAAAAAATCTTTCAACTTTTTATTTAAAATTATTGAATATAATTTTTTATATATTTCTTTATTTACATGTACAACATGTATATCTTAACTTTCATTAATTATCACAAAGAAATGTACATGTATGTCAGGTCTACAATCAGTTATATAATTGTTTTGTGCATTGGCTCTACTAATAGTTCTATTGAATATTAAAGGCAGATTCTAAATTCCCAAAAGGAGAGCATACATGTATTCATTATAGCCATGGCCTTGTCTCCATCTGAGGTTAAACTCATATTTCATGTATTTGGAGAATAACTTGTCATGTATTTAATGAACATGATTAAACAGGGTGAGGAAGTCCACTGGTCAAGCCTTAACTCAAAGTACTTAATTTTACCACGCTTACCAGTAGTTTTTAATTACCTTCAATATAATATGAAAATTTAAGATTGGTCCTGCTTTGTGTATAGAGCCTAGTCAGACAGAACAGATGAGTAGGGTGGGCCTGGCTTTAATATGCTGGTGGAAACACTAATCACTTCCACTGATTCAGCAGGTTCAGTATTCTGCTTTGAACTGAATGGCTGAGGACTAAACGAAGTTATTTTATCTAAATGTCTTGAATTTGTTTCAGGATTCAAGTCTCAAACCATTCCAGAGAATATAGACACTATTGTGATAGGAAGTGGTATAGGAGGGTTGTCTACAGCCGTGCTTCTAGGGCGTGCCGGCTACAAGGTTCTAGTGTTAGAGCAACATGATCGTGCAGGGGGCTGTTGTCACACATTTAAAGATAAAGGATTTGAGTTTGACACAGGTATTAATTAAGCTTTTGTGAAGTCTTTAAGAACAGCAATTATTTACAATTTTCAGAAACAGATTAGAACACTTAAAGTCTTAATATTTGCTATGAAAAGAAGAGTAAATTGAAGAATCTTGTTAAGTTAGCTAATGTTCTCAATAGTAACAGTAAAAGGAATTTTTTCAAGATGATGAATCAGACAAACATTGGAATGAATTGAATTTCTAATTGTATAATTCATTGTCAAATTAATGTTACCAAAAGATTGATTTCTGTCATTGTGTCTGTTTGAAAATTTGTTAAGCAGGAGATGTATTTCAGGTTATATTTTCCTAATTTTCTTAAATAGATTCTCTAACAGAAATGAGTTTAAGGATGGAGTAGAGTGATTTTATTGTTTTAATTGAGTACTGTTGTGTTTTTGTAAGGTATCCATTATGTGGGAAAGATGATGGAAGGTGATAAGACACGTGTATTGATAGATCAGATTACAGAAGGACAAGTTGTTTGGGAACCCATGGACCAGGAATTTGATGCGGTATGTAATATCTCAGATGATTATAATGCTAGTTCCTCAAGTAACAGTTATAAATTCATCCAACCCAGTGTGTGGAAATCAATACTCTGTTGCTGCCAAGAATCAGGCTATTCTTGAACACACTGCCAACTGCAGATATGACTGTTTTAATCCATTTAAGTCAGCAGTCCAGTTTTGTTTAGTTTAAACATATTGTTTCAGGTCAATTGCGTTACAAGTTCTTGCAACTTGTATTAATCACTTTCAAGTCCGATTCCTGGAACCAACCAGTGCTGGTGTCATATGAAGAAACATGGTTGTGACAGAAATAGGGCTCAAACCCATTATCCATGGGTTGAGACGCAGACACATTAACCACTAGCAATCCAGTTGTACTGTACTGTAGTCTGTACTTATATGTTTAGTTCATGCTATCTTTAGCTGGTTGCTGCAGCATTGTCACTGTCATTATAAGTCAACATTGTCCAAAAACTTTAATGTTAGCCCATTACTCAAACACTTTTAAACATAGCAACATGAAACTTAAAATACTTGTTTTTCATGAAACAGCACATTTGTCAGACAAGGGACTTTATTCTGAAATCTATATATTTCGATTTATTTCCATTTTTAATTATTTGCTAAAATTAATTATTGATAGAAAACTATCAAAGATAATACACTGATTCTTGGTATACTTGTTAATGGGGACAAACATAATCTGTAGAAAAAAGGGCATAACAATTTAGTGATAAGTATATCTAGAATTATCTCTCTTTCAAAGGAATGTATAAATAGCAGTAGATATCATAAACATTCACAATGGCAAAGTTACTCATCTTATTGAGATTAAGTGAAATGTATTACAGCTCTAGTTGAAGAAACACTTTCTAAATTCTAAATGCCATTTTTTATTCAATGCTGATTGTAGGCTATATGACTCCACTGAAATATTTTTCTTACCAAAAGATTTATAAATTTTGTACAAAATCCAAAAATTGTCTTTAGTATTCTGGCTGAAAAATTAATTGCTGAAAACTAGCTTTTACCTAAAACGAACAAAATATAGCCTAAATATTGCCTGTAGAAAAAAAATAATTAAATAGCGGATATTCTGACATTGTACGTGTATATCCAAATGTATATTGTTTTAGGTTGCCATTGGTAACCCAGAGAAGGCTAAGTGGTATACAATGGCATCTGGTTCAAAGGAAATATTTGCTTCACATCTGGAGAAACAGTTCCCTACAGAAAAAGAGGCAATATCTAAATTCATGCAACTATTAAAGGTAAGACAATACTCAGGTGTATTTAATGGCAGAATTTATTGTAGTTAGGGACATCCGTGACAGAGTGGTTAAAGGTCTTTGACTTCAAACCATGTGCTTCTCACCGCTGTAGGGTTTAAGCTGCACAAACCTTGTTCGATTCTACATGTGAGAAAGCTATCCACCTAGATTACAGAACATCAGTGGTTCTACACCGGTGCCTGTTTGTACTTGAAATAATGTACAGATGGGCACCCAAGGTCTTCCTCTACATTGTAAAGCTGGAAATTGGCCACATGACCTATAATCTGCTGGTTTGACATAAAATACCCAACACCAAAAAAAAAAAAAAAAAAAAAGAAACAACAGTTACTGTAATTTAACTTTAATTATTTACGTGTATTAGTCTAAAAATTTTGAACTTGCATTGCTTATTTATTTTTGTTCAGCTTTTTGTAAAGAATAGTTGTACTCACATTTTATTATTATTATTATTATTATTATTATTATTATTATTATTATTATTATTATTATATACATATTATCAATACAACATTTAGGTCCAAAAAACATCATATAAATTAATCATCATTAAATTTGAAATTCTTACAGAAATAAACCAAACAAATATGCGACAGATGATAAAGGAATAATATAACTCATATTGAAAATCAATTTTAGAAATTTTGATTAGTTCAATCAGAATTTATTGGTTATAATTTGAATGGTATTTTAGGATTCAGATGCTGCCTATCTAGGTGTGATGATTCCCAAGATGATCCCCCGTTGGCTTGCCCAGATAGTTATAAAGACAGGGATATATGACCTGGTGATGAGGAAATATTTGACATTATGTCGGAAATCAGTAAAAGATGTCCTGGACGAGCTTACAGATAATTCAGAGTTCAAGGCCGTGTTAGCTTACATATTTGGTGATCTTGGTAAGTACCTCATAAATTGCAAATGGCACTTACATTATCCAAGGAAATTACCAAAAAAATAGGTCAAAATATATGAAAATAGCCCTTACTACATTAGTTCTGCATTAGAAATATTAAAAGTGATAAATAGTACAAAATCAGTGTTTAATTGCACATAACATGTAAATTATTAGTTGAATCTTAAATCTTTTAATTTTTCATAAAATCTTAGTACCTTTTTCTCAAGTTTGATTTTCTTGATATATTTTTGGCTCATCTGGAGGCATGCAGCTTTAACATTACAAAAATTGACAGTCCAATTTAAGGTGCAGCATGGTCGAGTGGTTAACATGTCAGACTTGTAATCTAAAGATTGCTAGCAGCATGTATTCATACCTTTTAGGAGCACACCTTTGTTTTGACATGAACAAGAAATTTAATTAACAGTCATTGTTTGGTGGTTCCAGGAACTGATTCAAACGTGTTTCATTAACCTTGTATCTTCCGGCAAAAACTGAAATAAAAAGTTCTGTATAAACTATAGAGTTAAAAATTGTAATCTTGTATTTAAAGGTGTTGTGCCAAGCGGATTAAGTATGGTGAACTATGCATCTCTGATCAACCACTATATACCGGGAGCTTTCTATCCATATGGTGGACCGGGCGAGATTGCCTTTCAGATTATACCCATTATTGAGAGATACGGTGGACGTGTAATTACCGATGCCCCTGTCACAGATATTCTCATTAATGATAAAGGCCGTGCTCATGGTATGTACCTTACTTTCTATAAATGTTTATTTTAGAATTGCCTTGTATGACCATTTAAATAATAAGATTTGTTGTTGTATGACAATCCAGCTTTAGTTTTACTTGCACTTCACATGAAAAACTGGATATTTCTTAAATTAGTTACCATAGATCACTGTACAAGAATACATAAGAATTTAACCAATTTTAGAAATTCATTAATATGTAGAGGATATTCAAGTTTCTTCTATAAATACAGGATTTATTTTCATCGAGTGGTATGAAAATAAATATTTCATGAGTGGCAGTAGCAACGAGTGAAATATGATAATTTTCATACCACAAGATGAAAATAAATCCTGTATTAATAGAAAAAACTTGAATTTTCTGTTTATTATATACTTTTTCTCTTTTTTAACCTTATGAATAGGAAGAATTCCCTTTTAATTTTGTGTATTGGCTGAATTTAGAAGAAAGTAGTCCGGCAAGACACCAGTGAAAATATGGAAAATATGTTTCACTGCAGTGAAAAATTATTTTTTACAGTGAAAATATGGAAAATAAAAATACGCATTTTTATTTCATCAATATTTCATTTATAAGTACATAATAAATATATTAACTTTTTAGCAGGTCCAAAGTGTATGAGAAGATGGTGATGAATTGCTAGAGACGACATTTAAAAAAAATTAGAATAGCTTATGATTAATCATTTTATCAAAAATGTTTGAAACATTATCCTTGTTTAATGATCCATAGAATAGAAAATGTCTGAAGAAAAAACATAACAAATTTATTGTCATATGATAATAATATCTTCAATGTTTCTGAATTTTTTAGTGTATGTGTATTTTCATTTCATTATATCTAGGTGTGCGTGTTTCCAAGAACGGCAACAGTGTTGACTTGTTTGCTAAAAAGATCATATCAGATGCTGGTGTAATAAACACATTCAAACATTTACTACCAAAAGAAGTAGCGGTCAAAGCTCGTAAGTGTTAAAAGTTAATACCAGTTGAAAACATACATAATGTATCACCTCAACTTTATCCTTAAAGGCCCATTAACCCTAAAAAATGCTAGTTTTTGTATTCTTAAAAAAACTTTTATTTTTTGGGGTCTCGGCACAGTTTCCAAAAAGTTGTCTATAAAATTAATGAGCAATCTTCTGTTTTGGCAATAATACATTATAGTACATTATAGTGATTTAGTATTTTGTCTTCAAGTCAAAATACTTTGTTTCCATTTTCCTACTTATATAACAAATACTTTAACATTCAGTGCTATTTTCATTAAGAGATAATTATCTCCATATATCTTTTTTAGCATTATACAAATATATCCAGGAAGTTGGACCTAGCATATCATATGTTTCTGTGTTTATTGGAATGAATGGATCTTCTCAAGAGCTTGGATTGAAGAAAAGTAACACATGGGCATTTTTAAAGTTAGTAAATATTAAAATATAGTATAACCTTTGAAAGAGCAATGCCCTTTCAGTGTCTACTCTAGGAGTCGAAAAACGGGGGGAAATGTTGTATTCTGACATATTCAACTTGATCACTCACCCAAGCTACTCCGTAAAAATGGTATATTGCACGGCTGGGCATATATTTTTACGTTATACAAAAATAGTGTAAAAACATGCTAAATGTTAGCATTACACTAAAATTGTGTTATTGAAAAATGTTAAACAGTCTTTATTTTGGGTGTGTGATAACTAGAATATTATCTTCGTGTAGGGTCATTACTGAATTCATTGAACTAATTGATTAAAAACATAATGCTCACCAGGGGCTAGTCCAATATACTCGGTATTAAACTTACACTCATTTAATGTCCTCTATATAAACTATAAATATGCCATTGGAATCAGTCAAATTTACAAGTAAATGGTAGCCTCATTCTAATATATTGATATCAAACACTGACTTCCTTTCTTTACAAAACTAATAAATTTCAAGTTTTAATTTTTGTGTTGTGATTTTCTTTGATGTAATCAAGTTTTCATTGTTATTTCATTAGTTTATATCATTATTTCAAGTGGTTTAAGGTTTTGTTTTTCATTGTGATTTCAGTATAGACTATGAGAAAGATATGGAAGAATTCAAGTCAAAGAGTCTGGAGGAGGCAGTAGAAATGGAATGTCCTCTTATGTTTATATCCTCGTCCTCGGCTAAAGATTCCTCATTCGAGGAGAGATATCCAGGTTATATTATTATAAGATAACTCTATTTTACACTAAAATAGGGTAGTGCATACTCGAAACTACATGTAGTAGGTTTTTAACAGAATTTTAAACTTGTTTCAACGTTGTTGTGTGTTTCTCTCATATTAGTGTGCATACCTGAAACTAGTAGGCTTTTAACAGAATTTTAAACTTGTTTCGATTTTGTTGTGTGTTCCCAATGATATTAGTTACTGTTGTTATTAGTTCTATTTTATGTATGATTTATTAACACAAGGGTCGCTAGTTTGATCTTTGGGCTAGGAGATTTTTTTTTCTGTGACAATTGTGCCTAACAGTCAATGGTCTCTCAATGCTGATTCAGAAATCACATAGTATTTTGACTTTCATTCAAAACACTAAATCATGATATTTTTACTTATTACAAAAATGCAACAGATGCACAGATTGGTTCAGGAATTTACCAATGAGTAATAATAACAAGACACAAAAAAATAAGAAGCTTTGAGAAATGAAAATAAAAGCATTTCAGGGGCATAATGGAACTTTAACTAGACATGTTTATATGGATTCTGCATCATTGCTTTAAATGTTATTATTCAAGTGACACTTGCAGCTGTAAGTGCTTCTAACACCCTAAATGCTCAAAATTATTAGATGTGATATTGCTCTATTGTAGGAAAATCTGTGATAATTTATAGATATGATATCCCTTTATTGTAGGAAAGTCTGTGATAATTTATAGATATGATATCCCTTTATTGTAGGAAAATCTGTGATAATTTATAGATATGATAACCCAATATTGTAGGAAAGTCTGTGATAATTTATAGATATGATATCCCTTTATTGTAGGAAAGTCAGTCATGTTAATAATCACACTGATGCCGTGGGAGTGGACACAGAAGTGGGAGGAATGTCGAGTGAAACATCGTGGCGACGAATATGAAAATCTCAAGATGAAATTTGGACAACAGTTGTGGAGACAGGTGGAACAACTTTACCCAAGTGTTGAAGGAAAGGTAATGGCATTTGCCAACTCTATATATAGGACATAGTGGTTATATTACAGTCATTGAATTTAGCACTGGCCTGGTGGCCCATGGCCAGTGAAAATTAGTTCGGGCCAGTGAAAATTTTAAGAAAATTTAGTTAAATATATAGTAGAATAAATTCAAAACTGGAATTCTGGCTAGTAAATTCAAAATCTTAAATTCATTGACTGATATTAATAGACTTATGCCAGTAATTTTTTGGCTCAAAGCTACATTTTAATTCATTTCTTTGAACCTTCATTATCTACATACAGGTATAGGAATTTCGTCTTTAGTTTTGGATAAACTATCGCATATTAAACCTTCTGTGGTATGAGATCTTAATAAGAAAAAAAAAGCTAAATATTGATGGTTCTGCTCAGGTTGCCTACTCTTGCCTCATGTAATACACACTGGGGCACTTGAGGTTATCCTCCATCAGTGAAGCTGGAAAGTCGCTGTAGTACCTTAATGGTGCTGATGCTACTTAAAAGACAACCAAATTAAACAATCTGTATGTCTGTGCATTTTACTATTGTCATAGCACCTTCATTTATTGACTAAGATCTGAGACAATTGAAGTTACGGTGCCTTTCATGGACTAGCATTCAGTTGTAGGGATAAAGGCCAAGGTCACACAGCTTAAATGTACCAAACATATTCAATGAAGGCTAATTGTCTCTTAGACCAAAATGTAGCTTTTCCTACTTTTACTCATAGAAGGGTCATGATTTTTAGCCTTGAGAATGCATCTATGTATATACACTGGGCTTCCATAAGTGGAGTTTTGGAGTTAATTTACTCTGATTTTGGCTTGTGACTTCCAAAATATAATGCTTTTCCTTCTATATCTATTTTAATGTCACTTTCAGTGTCTAAACATTTTGCAGTTTTTGACTTTCATATTTGGGAACTTAATAGAAGCTCTGTATATAATTATTATATAACTTGTATTCATGTATTTTATAGTTAGACTATATAGATGTGGGTACACCTGTATCAAACAAGCACTACCTGGGACAACCTGAGGGAGAAATGTACGGTTTAGAACACAACATCAGGAGGTATGAACCAGATATATCCATGCACCTGAGGGCTCACTCAGGTATTCCTGGCCTCTACCTAACTGGTGAGTTGATCCTTTAGGCATATTTATTTTTTGTTTTAAACATTATAAGATTAAAGATGAATTGCACAAATGTTTTTTTATGAAAGAGTTTTAGCATAATATACAGAATTCATTTAAGGACATTTTCAGGAGTTTTTATGTAAGACATATAGGCAAAACTAAATCTGTTCAATAGAACTTCTATAAACTTGGCATGTTGTTAGAATATGATAACAGGAACATTTTAAGCAAAAACAATTTGGGGTCATGGTTTTCCTTTTTGAGTTATCCTAGAAATTTGTCCTTATCCTATAGTTAGATTGTGTCGGAAGCTATAAGCTTTTAGAAACACTTTCAAATCTGTTCTTGGAACCAACCTGTACTAAGCAATAAATGTAGTTTCCTGCTCAAGGAAACAACAGTTTGCCCTTGACAGGGTTTGAACCAACATGGCTAACAAGTCTGTGAGTTAACCAGTCACCCATGCCCCCCCACAGTGACAGAGTTTAATTGAGGCCATGGTTGAAGACTGTAAAATTTATTTTCTTGAATTTGATATTGTGACTCTTGATATTCATCGTAGGTTCAGGAAGTTTTGAAAAATATGTGGATCAAAGGTGAAAGGTTATTAATTTGCAATCTGAAAAATCTTCATCCACTAGTAAAACAAAAAACAAAACCCCATAAGTGTCATGCAACAAATTCTGTCATGTGGCTTACACCATATTATGACTTGATATTGTCATGTTACCACCGTCATGTGACCTTTACCTTTGTTGAACACTCTTGACATGACTGATATAAAAATAAAATTTTGATAATTCCTCCTTAGGTCAGGATTTGATATCAGCTGGGTTCAGTGGCGCCCTGCATGCTGGTCTAGTGACAGCATCGGCAATACTTCATAGGAACCTTCTCAATGACATTGGCGAGGTTACCAAGGAGACGAGAAAACTAATGAAAGCTAAGGTTGACAACGGAAAGAAATCAAATTAAATCAGGACATCAGAATGATATGACTTGTATAATTAGCATGTGTTATAAACATTACTGTGTAGATGTTGAACTGTGTAGATCGAGGATATCAATTCTGTTCAGGAAGTTCTTATGACTGTTGATTAAATACGCAAATTGTTCATCTGTCAATTTTTATGCCCCCACAATGTGGGAGCATATAGCGTTGCACTTGTCCGTCCGTCCGTCATTCCGTCCGTCCGTCCGCACTACCGAATAGGGATAGGGGGCCATCTAACTGTAAACAGAACAAAAGAGAAACAAGTAGAGTTCATTCCGTAACAATATGAGTAAGGGGCCATTGGCCCTCTATTAAACAATAGAAAAATAACAAAAGAAATGGCCCCTTACTTCCATTTCGGCGGCTGGCCGTCCTCGGTACGTCCCGAAATCTTGTGAACGCAACTCCTTAA